CGCCGCTGCTGCGCGCCTGGCGAGTGCCGCCCGCCGGCCCGGCCCAGCTGCCGCCCCGCGCCTACCCCCGGTACATCCTGCCCCTCGCCTTCGGCAAGTACTTCGCCTCCGTCTCCGCCCACGTCTCGCTCTGGAGGGTCCCGGTCTCCTACGCGCACACAGGTGAGGCCCGGCCGGGTGCACCGGGAGCCGGTGGAGGCCCCGGCGGGACGTCCCAGCGCCGGTCGTGCTCGTATAGGGGCCCGGCGCGGGGACCTGAGCCCCAGTACACGCTGGTACCGGTGCCTGGTGCAGTGACCCAAAGCCCAGCCTGTGCCCCTCTGAGTGCCCGGCGTGGTGTCCTGTGCCCCGGTGGGTACCCGGTGCTGTGTCTTGTGCCCCTGTGTGTGCCTGGTGCCGTGTCCTGTGCTCGGTGAGGTGTCCGGTGCCCAGTGCTGTGTCCTGTGCCACTATGGGTGCCCAGTGCTGTGTCCTGTGCCCAGTGCTGTGTTCTGTGTGCCCCTGTGAGTGCTCAGTGCAATGTCTTGTGTCCCTGTGGGTGCCCAGTGCCGTGTCCTGTCCCAGCGTGTGCCCCTGTGGGTGCTCAGTGTCATGTCCTGTGCCCCTATGGGTGCCTGGTGCAGTGTCCCAGAGCACCAAGAACCAGCCCATGTTTGTAGAAGCACCCAGCACGGTGACAAGGAGAGATGACCCAGCGTGGGCTGATGTTATGGCTTTGGTGGGACCAGACCTGAGCCCCTCCTCCACCTCCAGTGCTTACCCGCTGCTGGTGGTGGTTAATGGAGCTGGACCAAGCTTCGCGTCCCCACCGACATTTTCTTTCCGTTCTCAGTAAAAGCGACGATGCCAATATGGGTGGTTCTTCTTTCGCGGATCATAATGAAGGAAAAGCAGACGACGAAGGTGCGGACAGGTTTGCTGAGGTTTCTTCTCTTGGTGGCGTTCGTGGTGTGCCCTGCTGGCCGGGATCAGGAAGCTTCAGGCTTTCGTTAGCTGGGTGAATTTTGTGATTGAAATTAGGTTAAGTAGATATTACAAGTTCCTTTTCCTTTAATTGTGAATGCAAAGAAAACACACCTAAGCGTTGAGCAAGGTGATGCGCTCTGATACACTGGAGTTGTTACAGTGTGTATTGTCGTCACTTAATTTCCTCAAACTACAACAGTATAAAAGTTGCTCCCTGGTTCTGTTGCTTTATTCTTCCTTCTCCTTTCCTCCCCAAATCAGCAGTATGTATAAACTGAGTTGAAATGAAAATTCTTAGAAGATGTAAACTACTCCTCTCTGTTCCTCTTTCAGGTATACTTGTCTCTGA